CGACCTACAGCCCTGGAGGTTTGTTTTGAATTTATGTTCACGACACATCATCATTAAGTCGTTTCACCGACGTCATTCATCTAGCAGCGAACAAGGACGAGGCTGTCCTATACAAACTTTCAATTTTCACCTGCATACTCGTCTGCCGTTAACTGTTTAAGGTATGTAAAGTACACACAGGTTCAAGAAGCGCACCGTTACATTAATTAGCATGCGTTACCTCGGAGTGTGTGTGGCAAAGGGATAATGTAGCTTCTCAAACGAGTTCCGCTTAAGCTGAGAGGTGCATGAACTATCATTAACATCACAGATTAAGCTCTTCGCCTGTACTAGTTATAATGATTAAAACTATTCCTCTGTTTTGTCGGACCACCCTTCAATTTGTCTCTATGAATGCAGCTGCCATATTAATCGTGTCACAATATTAGGGCCTACGTCCACTGAAAAGACAACAATAATCAATGAAAAGCAACAAAGCACAAATGAGGAAAGGCTCACGTAATTTATCCCACATCCATTCTCTTATTCAGGCATACTATAATTGTATTTGCTGTTCCTCCTACATCCCTCGTCTATAGATCAAGCCAACGAAAAGTGCTCAGGCACTTGAAGAACGGGTCGTTCCCAGTATCCAGTTCCTCCTACAAACCTGTTTTGCAGGACAAAATTCTGCACACCACGCACAGGAGTCGATGAGCTCCGACCAAGCTAAATCTTTTCAATCGATCCTACCACGCAGGAATCGTTTGGGCCGCACTGCACATCACAGGAACCTTTGAACCCGGCCGTGGAGAAGTGCCAATGTGTTATTGATGTATTACAAGAACGCGGCGCACGCACATGGAAGTGGAGTGAGTGTAAGAGATCCAAATACCTGATTATTTAGTCGTTTAAGCAAGACGTATTTTGCTGCTTTATTATGTACGACAGGAAAACTGACTAAAGGCTACCCAACCGAATCACACAACACAATTAGTTCTGTCGGACCTGTAGGTTCGTTGGAAAGAACCACCTCCTACCTCTCCGGGGTCAATTCGCTGTGTCTGACTGTCCGTCTATCTCTATGCACGAATGTATAATAGAGCGATTCCTTGAAAACACTGCGTTATGAAGAAGTCGCGTTATAGAAACCATTGGTACAACTGGAATTAAGGGGTGTGGGATGTAATTTTTCTGTAGTAATTAGTCATATTATTAAAACTGAATCATTACTTTGGCACAATTAAGTTTTCATAACTAAGTTCATAGTTTACTTCTCTGAATTTCTCTCGCTCTCTCTGCTGTTGGCAAACACTCTAATAAAGGAAATGGATCAAACTGAATTATTATTCATTGATATTTGAAACACCTTGTCCCGCGCCGTAGCCGCGCGGTCTGAGGCTTCGTGCTTCGGACCGGAGATACGGAATGCGCGCTAGTTCGAATCTCGGGGGAGAAGAAATTTTCTCATGAGATTTTCGACCGGTGTATGGGACCGGTGCCAACCCAGCATCGTGAGGAAATTGGGGAGCTACAATGGGTAGCGTAATCTGGTCATGAAAACTAGCAATGGCTGGGGGTTCGTCGTGCTGACCACACGTCATCCTATATCTGGTTGGATGATCGTTCACCTCTGCTTAGGCATGTGAACGTGAGGCCAGTAGTCAAGCTAGTCGGCTTTGGCTCTCTGGAGCTGTTACGCCACGGATTTAATTTTAATTTGAAACACCTTACGCAATGACAGCTTTGTTCCAACTTCAAGGCAAAGTACACGGTAAGCCAGAGATTTATAATCGTATTATGATCAAACCTGATCTAGGTTTCTGACTGGGTCGACCAAGGTACCCAACAAATCAGGCTTTGCCTTTTCGGAAGCAGAACCAACCAACTTCCGAAATGCCATGGTGGGTAAAGTTGAAAAAAAAAAGTGTCCCACCACAGACACCTTCAAACTTCCACGCAATTGCCTGTCTATACAAGTCCGTATTTAATTCTGTACGGTAAATTCATACACTGTATTTCTGGTGCTTCGGTGTGGGAATGGCAAGAGACTCACCCAAAGGCGCGGGAACGCCCGGAGTGGGTCCGCTTGGAGACGACGTGGGGAGAAGAGGCAGAGCAGCTGTTGCAGACGGCGACACCTCGTTCAGAACAGAAGCCTCTGACGGGTACTCGAACATTGTCGTGGCTGCATCGTTGAATCTAATTCGCAGCTGAGAAGGAAACGACATATCATTAAGAGAGTGAATTAATATTTTCCCAGTTTACTTAAAATAAACTGAATGGAAATATTTAAACTGAGTTTTTCTTATACCACGCATCTTTAATGGTCTTACTTAATGTCATCAACTGAGTTTGCGTTATTAGATTAATCTTCTTCATAAACAAAACGAACAGTGACATCCTGTTTTGTGACAGGCTTTGGTGCTCTGCAAGGAAAAAACACTAAATTATTTTCACTCATTCATTTAAAGTCAAGGAACATTCTGCACGCAAACCGCCATCATTCTGGTGCGTTCGCTCTGTTATTGTTGACTAGATTTCCGATTGATACGGTAGCCAGGACCAGCCGTGCGTTTCGACTACGTCACTAGCTCCCAGATAGAAGAAAAACAAATGCATACACCATGTAAACCAAAGACATTGCCGGCACAGGAGCTGAGACGAGACATAAAGTACTGGAGTTGGGAAATAATGCTTATTGTATGGACAGTTTATGATTCTTTCTCTGTTACCCCTCCCAACATCTCTGATCCCACTGATAAGGTTTACGGAAAATAAGTGTTTTTGGGCATAAAATGTGTAATTCTCTCTGCAATTTTTTTTGAAAACCTTTCTTGCTCTAATATTACTAATATATGTAACGGAGCAAAAATTTAAAATAGGTCTTCATGTAATATACCGTTATTATTGTTGCAACTTCCTACTATGAAATTTCATGTGAATCCGCTCAGTGGTTCTCGAGCTATTACACGCCGTGTCATGGCGCAGTATAGTGACAAAATCTGCAAACAACAAATGATCGATGAATTAAATCGTATATAGTTGTCTAACATTTTCCCACTAAACCGCGTTTACAAGGACGAGGCTGTCCTATACAAACTTTCAATTTTCACCTGCATACTCGTCTGCCGTTAACTGTTTAAGGTATGTAAAGTACACACAGGTTCAAGAAGCGCACCGTTACATTAATTAGCATGCGTTACCTCGGAGTGTGTGTGGCAAAGGGATAATGTAGCTTCTCAAACGAGTTCCGCTTAAGCTGAGAGGTGCATGAACTATCATTAACATCACAGATTAAGCTCTTCGCCTGTACTAGTTATAATGATTAAAACTATTCCTCTGTTTTGTCGGACCACCCTTCAATTTGTCTCTATGAATGCAGCTGCCATATTAATCGTGTCACAATATTAGGGCCTACGTCCACTGAAAAGACAACAATAATCAATGAAAAGCAACAAAGCACAAATGAGGAAAGGCTCACGTAATTTATCCCACATCCATTCTCTTATTCAGGCATACTATAATTGTATTTGCTGTTCCTCCTACATCCCTCGTCTATAGATCAAGCCAACGAAAAGTGCTCAGGCACTTGAAGAACGGGTCGTTCCCAGTATCCAGTTCCTCCTACAAACCTGTTTTGCAGGACAAAATTCTGCACACCACGCACAGGAGTCGATGAGCTCCGACCAAGCTAAATCTTTTCAATCGATCCTACCACGCAGGAATCGTTTGGGCCGCACTGCACATCACAGGAACCTTTGAACCCGGCCGTGGAGAAGTGCCAATGTGTTATTGATGTATTACAAGAACGCGGCGCACGCACATGGAAGTGGAGTGAGTGTAAGAGATCCAAATACCTGATTATTTAGTCGTTTAAGCAAGACGTATTTTGCTGCTTTATTATGTACGACAGGAAAACTGACTAAAGGCTACCCAACCGAATCACACAACACAATTAGTTCTGTCGGACCTGTAGGTTCGTTGGAAAGAACCACCTCCTACCTCTCCGGGGTCAATTCGCTGTGTCTGACTGTCCGTCTATCTCTATGCACGAATGTATAATAGAGCGATTCCTTGAAAACACTGCGTTATGAAGAAGTCGCGTTATAGAAACCATTGGTACAACTGGAATTAAGGGGTGTGGGATGTAATTTTTCTGTAGTAATTAGTCATATTATTAAAACTGAATCATTACTTTGGCACAATTAAGTTTTCATAACTAAGTTCATAGTTTACTTCTCTGAATTTCTCTCGCTCTCTCTGCTGTTGGCAAACACTCTAATAAAGGAAATGGATCAAACTGAATTATTATTCATTGATATTTGAAACACCTTGTCCCGCGCCGTAGCCGCGCGGTCTGAGGCTTCGTGCTTCGGACCGGAGATACGGAATGCGCGCTAGTTCGAATCTCGGGGGAGAAGAAATTTTCTCATGAGATTTTCGACCGGTGTATGGGACCGGTGCCAACCCAGCATCGTGAGGAAATTGGGGAGCTACAATGGGTAGCGTAATCTGGTCATGAAAACTAGCAATGGCTGGGGGTTCGTCGTGCTGACCACACGTCATCCTATATCTGGTTGGATGATCGTTCACCTCTGCTTAGGCATGTGAACGTGAGGCCAGTAGTCAAGCTAGTCGGCTTTGGCTCTCTGGAGCTGTTACGCCACGGATTTAATTTTAATTTGAAACACCTTACGCAATGACAGCTTTGTTCCAACTTCAAGGCAAAGTACACGGTAAGCCAGAGATTTATAATCGTATTATGATCAAACCTGATCTAGGTTTCTGACTGGGTCGACCAAGGTACCCAACAAATCAGGCTTTGCCTTTTCGGAAGCAGAACCAACCAACTTCCGAAATGCCATGGTGGGTAAAGTTGAAAAAAAAAAGTGTCCCACCACAGACACCTTCAAACTTCCACGCAATTGCCTGTCTATACAAGTCCGTATTTAATTCTGTACGGTAAATTCATACACTGTATTTCTGGTGCTTCGGTGTGGGAATGGCAAGAGACTCACCCAAAGGCGCGGGAACGCCCGGAGTGGGTCCGCTTGGAGACGACGTGGGGAGAAGAGGCAGAGCAGCTGTTGCAGACGGCGACACCTCGTTCAGAACAGAAGCCTCTGACGGGTACTCGAACATTGTCGTGGCTGCATCGTTGAATCTAATTCGCAGCTGAGAAGGAAACGACATATCATTAAGAGAGTGAATTAATATTTTCCCAGTTTACTTAAAATAAACTGAATGGAAATATTTAAACTGAGTTTTTCTTATACCACGCATCTTTAATGGTCTTACTTAATGTCATCAACTGAGTTTGCGTTATTAGATTAATCTTCTTCATAAACAAAACGAACAGTGACATCCTGTTTTGTGACAGGCTTTGGTGCTCTGCAAGGAAAAAACACTAAATTATTTTCACTCATTCATTTAAAGTCAAGGAACATTCTGCACGCAAACCGCCATCATTCTGGTGCGTTCGCTCTGTTATTGTTGACTAGATTTCCGATTGATACGGTAGCCAGGACCAGCCGTGCGTTTCGACTACGTCACTAGCTCCCAGATAGAAGAAAAACAAATGCATACACCATGTAAACCAAAGACATTGCCGGCACAGGAGCTGAGACGAGACATAAAGTACTGGAGTTGGGAAATAATGCTTATTGTATGGACAGTTTATGATTCTTTCTCTGTTACCCCTCCCAACATCTCTGATCCCACTGATAAGGTTTACGGAAAATAAGTGTTTTTGGGCATAAAATGTGTAATTCTCTCTGCAATTTTTTTTGAAAACCTTTCTTGCTCTAATATTACTAATATATGTAACGGAGCAAAAATTTAAAATAGGTCTTCATGTAATATACCGTTATTATTGTTGCAACTTCCTACTATGAAATTTCATGTGAATCCGCTCAGTGGTTCTCGAGCTATTACACGCCGTGTCATGGCGCAGTATAGTGACAAAATCTGCAAACAACAAATGATCGATGAATTAAATCGTATATAGTTGTCTAACATTTTCCCACTAAACCGCGTTTAGACTAGCTCTGGGGCCCATCCAGCCTCGTGTGTAATGGGTACCGGGGTCCTTTCCCGGGGGTAAAGCGCGGTCGGGGCGTGCACTGCCCAATCACCGCTATCTAGTGCCGAGGTTAAGAATTAGTAGAAGCTATACTCCTCTCCCCCAAGCGTCTACATGGCGTATAGATGGACAACTTTACGTTTTTTACTTCATGGCTGCCTAGCAGCAAAATAATGATGCAAACGAGTTCCCAACCTTCTCTAGACTACATCAAAATATTCTCAGCACCATGACCTCAAACACCGTCAGTTTTAACTAATATATATATATAATATTTCTCCGCTGTCTGAAAAGGCGAACATGGGGAGAACTTACTCAAACTGTGATGTAAGATGTATGGAAGGAAGACATAATTCATGTTAAAGCCGACCCCTCTCACGGTCGCCCATTATCTAACAATGGAAGTATTTACAAAAAGAGGAAATCACTGGGATCTAACGTGTGTAAGGTCAACGACATTTAACAACTTGAACTTGAATGCAGAAACTTTAATATGAGAAAATTTAAACACAAAAGATCCCCTGGCAAGCAGGTACTATTACCGTACCGTAGTAACGGCTGGAAGCCAATATGCATAAACATGCAGAATGCATCACAACGCTTACCAGAGTGACAGAGGCCTCGGGTGAAAGTACCTGAGACATGAACACGTGGCATGCAGGGTCCAGCACGAGCCAGAAACATGGAGTGTAGACTTATTTTAACAACAGGACGATTAATGGATTCTGAAGGGTTCTGACGATGGTGTAATACAATATCAGACGACGGGCAAGGTCCAAAAACCAACAATCCAGGAAGATTCATGTCCACAGCTAATGAAGTACTTTCGATTCTTGAGAACACAAAAGCTTTAAACAGAAATGTATGAGCCAAAATACGGCAACAGACTTCGAAAAGCATGCTTAACCCAGTGTGAACTACACCACCTGCTTTAACAAACGGTAACCATTCATTTTGTATTTATATGATTCTCATTGTAAACAGAGATGAATTTATTGAACAGTGTTAACCAGCTGGTCTTTGTATGTTGCGTTTTCTTTGCGGTACGGACTAAATTCTTAAATATTATTCAGACAATCTTCGTTTAAATGGAGGTCGAACTTATTTCAAACAGGTGTAGATGGGGGGATAAAATTAAGATGGCTGATGTGCAGTGGATTCACCCCGTTTGCAGCAGGGTCCAGTGTCGGGATCTTGTAATCATTACAGTGAATCCACAGATAGCAGAGGCTTTAATGATGAGAACACCAACTATCAGCTTCTCAAGAACTCTGTTCCTCGGAGTAAATTGGTTAGGGAAAACTTGAAAAGCACTGGTTATCGATAGTGAATGCGACAACTTTGTTTTCAACAACGATCCTCAAAGATATTCCTAATTCTTAACTCGTAATTAATTTCTAGAGCACTTGCGTAAGATTTAAGCAGGCAGAAAGTAATTTTTGCATTTCCCCTAAGTACTATGCCAGAAAGGCGTATATCCAGTGTGAAGATAAAACTGCATGCATTATCGAAATTGGCAAAAGCCTACGCTCTGGGGGACATCACAAAAGAAATTTCGCCGAATCGTCCAGGTCCCATACAGATAACTTAACATAAAGTAAGAGTTTTCATCTCAACACAGATTCCATATCTAAATCTAAACTCAAAGCTGAACATTAATTCTGCAACGTGTTAAAAAAGCCGAGGGCCGACACGGGATTACGCAAAGAAAGACTTGGTTCATGGCAGAAAACTGGCTACTCTCCTCCATTTATTACAGACATTAAGAATACGTGGAGCCACACCTACACTCCCTAATGTCTTCACTGCGTGGTACTTATCACGCAAAGGGACAACTTTCCCTTACAGTAAACAGATTACGAACTCGAATTACATTTGCATCATGTGTAAGATAAGAGGTTAAAGTTTCTTTTCAATGTTTACATAAGTTAATAACATTATAAGTAAATGTCCTGTAAGAAATGTTCAATTTCATTATTTAAAAGCAGTTTATTAAGAAGCTAGCCAAATACAGGTACCCGAGCTATGTTCAATGCTAACGATACACGATAGTCCTAATATGCAGATGTTATGACGTTTATTTGCATATAATGATGAAATGATGGGCCATTTACTTGTTGCCTGGACTGTATCTTACGCAAATCTAATCAGATGACGTCACACAGCAGCATGCGAATCATTAGATTGTAGTGGCCATATGCAATCCACCGTCATCACGATATACCTGACGTGAAACAGCATGGCACTTGAAACTTAATGCGCAAAGCGCCTGGGTCTCGAAATTCCTCCCTCGCCGGCCTTCTAGCCGGAACAGCGGACTCCCTTCTCTCCCCACCATTTGCCTCTATTATCAGGGCCTTCAGGAACAAGTGTCATGCTATTTGACGTTAGGTACGTATATACATTGCAGCTAATTTCTTGCAAGTCATTCGGCGACCGTAAAACAAAATCTTGTACCATGAATTTTAACTTGACCCCGGATGCAATACGACATCCGTCACTCCTTCCACGTCGGACTTCTAACATAATTCAAAGGAAGAAACTTCCGTTTTGTGCAGTGAATCCAGTTAGATTATAACCAAGAGAGAGGGAGAAAGAGAGAGAGAAAGCACACACAGCCATTTTTTTATTCCACACAACTTCCTTCGACAGCTGTTCCAGCCACGCACTGCAATACCACATGTCAGCTTTAGCGTTATTTATCATCACTATTATTTTGGTAGGAGAGCCGCACACTTTAAAAGATGTAATGTTAAAATCGAGCATGACAGGAACAAAACAGAAAATCCCACCCCCTTAACAGACGAACACGTTTATTTTATGGGGGTTTGTGCGGAAGATCAGATGTGGGGAGAGGGATTAGTATGGCAGTTGACCTTTCTTTCCAGTCACAATGAAGAGTAAAGCTAGAGCAAAAACATTACCGAAGACAATTCTTTTTACCGTTAAGAGAGATACCAAAGGCAAAGGGCGCCAAGAGGGTAAGCAGCGCTACTGAGGGGGTTGGAAAGGGGAAGTTACACCCTGTAGGATTTGAGGTTTTCATGGCGGCAAGTCTGAAGATGGCAGTCTTCTGGGTTGCTGCGCCGTGTAGTCTGGTAGAAGTTTACCGATGTTTCAGAGGTCCTCCATCAGGGTCACGAGTCACTTCTAACAGACTAACTACTGTCCACAGATGGCGAGAAAAACCCTGCTGAGTGAAGTCGTTTCTGGTCGGTGCGGGGGAATGTTACTTATCAGCTGGACTAGAGGGCTGCTATTGGTGGGAAGTGCGATACGTCAGAGTTTTACTCTACTGCACACAGACTGAAAACATCAAGCCGTTAATAGCAGCGTGTAGTGAGCGCACTTGTAATGTGTTCTGTGGGTGTTGTGATAATATTTTTTGATTAAATCACTGTGCCACTGTGAGGTAAACTTAAAGCTGTATCCATTAGAACACACGAAAGCCTGTCGTCTGTTGTTCGTTCAGTGGTTGTGGAACGAATGCTTTTAGGATCGGTCGTCACTCAACGCGAAATCTTGCGCATGCGCGTATATCGAATTCATAGCAGGGGATTTTCTCCTGATCTGTGAACTGTACATGGCGCAGCAACCCAGAAGGCAGCCATCTTCCAGTTACACCCTGCCTGACGTAACAGTCGTGGTAAGGGATGTGGTTATTTAACCCCCCGGGGCACATGACAAATTTTGGTACCTGGAAGAAACGTTAAAAATGGTATCAACAGGATTCTGAATAAAGAACGGGTTACATTCGTGATATACCAGCTACTGTTCAAGGTCTGAACGTCTCATATCTACAGTGTAAAGATTAAATGGCCGGTACACACAACTTCTTTGTGTGAAACTTGATCACTCACTTCAATGGAAGAACAACAGACTGAGGATGTTTGAGAATGAGGTGTTGAAGAGAATATTTGAACCTGAAAGAGAAGAGTAGAAAGCAGAAAATTTCACAAGGAGCTTCACTAAATATTATTAAGGCGAACAAATTATAAGTCTGAAACAGGAGGGGATTTTATCCGGAATGTGAGGCACAATAAATACAAAATGTAGGTCGGAAGACTTTCAAATAAGGGGCCTAGGCATATAA